AAGACCATGGACACTGAACTGTTTACTCTTACTAGTGCTATGTGCTGCATCCAGGGTTCTAATCAAAGTGTTGAATCATGTGAATAAAGACAAAAATTGTTGCACCTTTAGCAGGTTTGCTGGTAGTTATGAAATGTTGTTTGAGGGTTAACGTTAGAGTTTGGGGGCTAATTTATAGAGCAGACATTAGCTGAAAAAACAGCCTACTTCCATTTCTGTTGCTGACTGTGATCAGAGCCTCATGTTCCCACATCCATGTTTCCAGAGTGTTCCTGGTTCAAGGGATATGATACAGAGAGATCTAGGGGTGGTTTTTTTCCAGTGTGGAACCAGCAGTGATTGATGTGGGATAATTAGTTCAGACACAACAAAGCTACTTGTAATGTTACCAATTGGAAGCTATTACTAGAAGCTGCATAGTTACAGTTGTGTAATATTTTGTAAGTGATGATAATTTCCTAACAGATAATTGAGCTGACTTTGGTTACAGCAGATGAATCTGTAGAGATCCCTGTGGTCCTGAACAATGAGAAATCTTCACTCCGAAACAAATATTTCAATTCATGATGCTGTGATTATTTAATTTTTTAATAAAATGCTGGGGGGAAATACAATGGGTTTGCTTTCCTGGCAGAAAAGTGATTATTTTTTTTTTTTTTTAATTCTTTTTTTTTTTTTCCTTAGTCTGAAAGAGAAAAACTTTCTTTTTTGGAATTAATTTTGTGGCTGTTTTTTGGAAAAAAAAAAAAACCAACAACCAACACTGAAGTGCTGATACATTACTGAGAGCAGAGTATACCTCACCCTCACTAATACTGTCCTTCTGAGCATTAGTAGCTCAAGTCATGTATTACTGTGTAAGGTCAGAAGCCTGAGCAGAGTAGCCAAAATATATGTCAGCCTTACACTGGAGTATGTTGAAATAAATAATGAAAATAATAGAAGTTTTCTGCAGATATATTCATCACGCACCAATGTTCGTGTGTATTTATGTCCATGTTATGGGTTGCGTTTAATAGCTGCTGGTAAGTGAGGTGGAAGACAGAACCCCTCTTAAACTGTGCCTTTTCTGTATGTCATCCTGGGAAGTGTTCCTTCAGTCTGTAAGGCTTTATTTTTTTGCAGGCCATCCACAAACAATCTTTAATTTCCGTGTTCCAAAGAACAGTGCTCAGAGTATAATCTCAGACCTGCAGGATTTTTATTCTCTTATGCCTGAAAGCTGAAGTGGTTTTCAGATGGTTGCAGTAAAGTTTGAAGTGGCAGATATTTGGTAAACTTATTGGCAGTTTCTCTGATCCCCTTAGTTCCATATGGGTAGGAACAGAACTTCTTGTCCCCTCTTGCTTGTCTTCTTGTTCTCCCTAACACCAACTAAACATGTATTTTTACCTTGAATTATACTATTGAGATGTGTGCAATACTTCCTCTCCCCCTTTTGCTTATTTTCTGGGGTTGTTTTGGGTTCTGTTTTGGTTTTGGGGTGGGTTTTTTTAGCATGCTATAGGATATGGCACCTGGATCCAGATGGCAGCTTTATCTTATATTTGCAAATCTCAAAATGTAACTTTAGAGGAACATCTGAAGTTATTTACAATTGGTTGAATTCTTTGAAAGATTTTTTTGCTTTGAAAAATGCAGACAAAATTGTGGACAGAATTTTTGGGGTGTTTAATCCGTGGTAAATCTATTGAGTTTCAGAGATTTTTAAAAGGGAATGTGTCTTATTGCCTGATGCAGTCAGAGAGGCTCAGAGCTATTACCTGCTATTTCGCTAGCAATGTCCATTTGTTCATGTGGAATAATTTAGTCTCAGACCTGAGCTACCTGTTCAGCATTGCTATTAATTGGAGTTGCAAACATTTAAAGTTGAGTGTTCTCTTGCAGGAAATTGAAAGTGAACATTTTGCTCAGCGTCACCGTGCTGCTGTTTGAGAGATGTGACAGTGCCCTCTCTTGGATCTTCTGAACGGTTTTGGGTCTTTTTAAAAGAAACAATACTGAAATACTTTAACGTGTACAATGAAGGGTAAAAATCATCTGTTGACATTAGTCTGATTAAGCAGACTTAAAACAAATGTAAGAAACAGCAAAGAATGCAACAGTTTGTAATGTTAATATCAACTCATTTCTGTGCTGTGCCTTTGTTTTGGATGTAACTTTCAAAATTACACTTCTTGTGTTTAATGTCTGGCCATGTCAGAAGCTTCCGTAAATGTGCTTTTCACAAGATTCCATTTGTGCAGGGTTTCACTTAACGATTTGGGGTAGATCCAGATGTGATCTCGCAGATAACAGGGTGTTTGAAACACTGTCTCAAAGATACTTGACTGTTGTGTGTCCATTTGTTTGCCGAGCGGGCTGTGTCCATGCGATCCAGCACGATTCCCTGGAAGCTGCCCAGTATAAACTAATCAGAGAGCCCCCCCTGGTGTTTGCAAGTGTCCTCGGATATTAAATTTATATCAATCCCAGGAAGTCTTGGCAATCAAACTAGTCACTTTTTCCCTTCACATCTGGACGTAAATTATTTTTTTGTTACAGAGGTCACAGGAATCATGGGTAGGGCATGGAATGAGGGCCATAGAAAACATGGGAAAGGAAGAATAAAACTGTATTTCCACCTTCTTAGAAATGGTTATTTTTAAGTGACCTGGAATAAAGCCAAACTATACAACAGTTGGGTTTTGGTGTTTTTTTTTTTTTCTCCTTGAAGTTTACATTTGTTGCTGAATTAAATGTGGCTTAAAGATACTTTGTTTTGGAACGCTTTGTGCCATTAGAGCTCATCTTGGCGCTTATAAAAGAGCTTTCTCCTACTTGCCGAGGACAATAACTTTACTGCAGGAGTGCAGAGCATGCTTCTGTACTTAGAGGGGTTTAACTACACCTCCTTTCTTTCGGCATTACTTAATTTCCCTTGTTTTCCTTCCGTTTCCCCCTTTTGACCCCGATGCTGCTTCAGCCATGCACTTTGAGCTCTTCCTTAATGCTGGATTACTAGTTTTTTACAATAAGTTTGCATCTTTTCAAGCGTTTTTTTCCATTCTTAAATTCTTTCCTCTAAGAAATTAAGGAAATGCTTCATTTTATGCTTTCCCCCTGCCCCCCAACTCTTCATCAAGTCTCTCAAACAAGTGCTTAAGGAGGGGTTAGAAAAACAAAGCCTTTCCATGCAACTCCCTGCCTTTCCTCGATGGGACAAGGGAACTAGTGTGCTGGAAGCTGCAAAGACCTGAAGCCTGTAGCTTTGGAGTTGTGGGGGTTTTTTAACATTCCATGCATATGGGAAATAAAGATGGCATTAGTTTACATTCGTATAGTAAAGAAAGTGTCAGAAGGAGAAGCTTGAGGTGTGTTTAGCAGAAATGAATTTGTGAAACATTAATTGCTGTTGTTTGTAGCTACTGCTGTGTTCCTACATGGCTTTTTTTATATAGACAGGTTCTGTTAGCTCACTGATTATTTATTCAGTCATGTAGCTTACACTCTCTTTAGACACAAAGTTGAATAAAATCATCCGTTGGAATCTGACAGCAGGATTCTCATGCTGAGAATCCAAGATTAAGTCCAGGAATTTTGTTCTGTTTTAACAATTACCTTCTGTGTTCCCTTTCAGATTTAAGGGGATCTTATTCTTGATTCTGCTGTTTATAACTCCCAGTTACAAGATCTTTGCAGTCCTTATGCCAATCAAATTGAACGGGTATTGCTTGAATGCTGTGTTGTGCCAACTCCTACATGAACAGAAGGATGATTTATTAAGAATCTTTATTTTTATTCTTCTCCCCTCTTCTAGACTCTCAGAATCAGAGGAGGTTTTTAAGCAGCAAATGCCTTCTCCACATTGCATTATAAGATTACTAGATTGTTCTTGCATGGGATGGTTTGTGTTGAACACAGTCATCTTACAGGGTTCTTTTAGCTTGTATGAAGTGCTTTTAACAGTTAAGTGAACTTTCAAACTTTTGCTACAATAGGTTTAAGCGTGTTACTTCAAATTCACTGCAAGGTA